TCGGTCACTTTGGTTCTACTGCGGATATCCTCATTTCTAAGTTTATCACGTAGAGAAACCCCGAGCATAGCCCTCTCCATAGCTCGCTGAGCGACCTTGAGCGCTCTCATACAGCCAACAGTGAAGAACCACGTCTCTGATCCGTAAGTCATCACTGGCAACACGCAATGGTTGTACAATCTAGTTTTCAGGTTTAGAGATATACCTGACGAGACGATGTGAAGTAATTTCCCGAACGCTGCCCAGCCGAGTTGAATCCGTCGATTGACCTCTCGGTCGAAGTTGGATTTACCTAGTCGGAATATTTGTCCCAGGTAAACATACTTGTCAACAACTTCGAGCTTAGTGCTCCCAACTACTACCGGCATATGTGTGACATGGACATTAAACATGATCTTTGTTTTTTCCATGTTCATATTTAAACCTATCCGTTGGGAGACACTAACGCTGTACTAGCCATTGATGTGAATACCGTATCCTTTCCAGTCTAGTAGCTTGAAAACGTCTTCCAACCCAGCTGTGAAAAGTTTCGGGGATATAACGTCACCCTATCTTACACCTCTCTGCAGTTGGATAGGTTTCGTACTCTGGTTCTGTCTCGGATAGCCATCGTAGCCCTACTGTACAAACACTTCAGCACTTCGATATACCGACAGTCAACTTGGCAACGCTGAAGGGACAGTAGCACCGCCCAAATTCCCGGATCATCGGAATAGTGTCGGATAAGACTTGCTCTTGGATCGTTACTCACACTTGCGAGTGGCTTCATCGATGATGTGTACAGCTGCCCATAGAACCTCTCAATCTCACTCAAAATCTCAGTTGTCCCGGAAAAGTGTCGTGTAGTAGCGGTTAAGAATATTCACTGCCCCATGTATTCCCGTGGATGTCGTTAAAGAGGAACATTTACATAGAACAGAGGTAAACATGCTTTTAAAATATTATAATTTCATATAAATTTAGTACACGATAAGCGACTTTTAGATGTATTACTCATTCAAGATAAACACTTCTATGGAATGTAAATGCAAATATCGCGGAAAGATCAAAGAAAATGTAGATACACATCCTTTTAAAATTTACCTCCAACATTATCTCCGCGAAAGAGCGTTTTCTGAGCTTTCCATACAAATACACTAAAACTTTTTTTTTACAAGTGGTCATAAATACATAAAGATAAGTATCACATAGTTATTCAAAGCTAAAAGTACTTACGTTGAACCTGCTGAAAACAGAACCATTCTTTAGGGAATATTTCGAGACAAGACAAGAAAGAGCGACAAATAACAAGATGTACTAAAAGGTATTCATAATAGACACTTTAAGATACTAAAGCAAAGTTTAGACGGAGCCAGTGTTGACTGCCAGTTTCAATGGCAGCTAGCGCTGGCTTGTGATTGGCCTCGTATAAACAGTTTTTCAAGACAAGCCAGCGCTGGCTGCCAGCACTAGTGGAAATAGAGCGCCTGTCCATTTTTCAAGCTAGTGACCTCCGCCCGCGTGCCCGCGCAAGAATAAATAATTCGTAATATAAAATTTTTACTAGTGATATGGTACAAATTCCACTATTTGATGTATGTAGGTACTATATGATAAACATTATTTTCAGTTAAAGATTAAAAAACAATTAATACAACGATTTACAAGAATAATCTAGTAATGAAATTAATCCATTTGGCCTCATCTAAACAACACGGACCAGGCCAGCGCTGTCTGAGGACTGGCGCCAGCGTTACTGGCTTCGTCTAAACTTTGCTTAAAACTAAACGTTGATAACAATGATGATGAATGAAATAAAAGAATTATACCGTTACCGTTACAGCCTTTAATAGGTCTTAAATAGGTCCACTGATGAACGTAGGCCTAACCCATATTATATTGTCTCATACATAGAATACTATAATACACAATAGAATGGCTGCCAACTTTATTTTATACGATGATTAGCGTCGCCAAACCCGATTCGCTGTGTTGACAGACTGAGTAAATTTACACATTTTAGACTTTTGATTAATGTTCGAGATCATCATTAAATTTTAATATATATTTATTTGTAAATAGGGTGCAATTCGGCATATTCTAAATTATTTGCATGCGAAATTTGGAAACGATTGTAACGTCAAAACACATCTCGTGTTGACATTTATACGTGTGAATTGACGTGTTAGTGTCATTTTAGTGGCTACGCGGGCTCCGCCCACTCCCCTGTTCTATTATGTATGTATTATAGTATTCTATGGTCTCATATTTTGAAGGAATTTGTAAGTATTTATTACCCTTTTACTATTACCATTACATACTTACGTAACAAGTTATTAAAGTCTACTGCTGAACATAGGCCTCACCCATAGATTGTCTCATAGGGGGGATATTCGCCATAGTTGCCACGCTTGGCAAGTGGGTTGGAACCGTAGTATATTTTTATTTTAGCCGTTATTAGAAAGACGCTGCTGCCCATCACCCGATTCGTTTCTGTTTGATTGTATAATAATGTCAACAAGACCGAATTTCGGTCACGGCTTGCCTCAACGGAGACTTAGCCATCGGCGCAAGACAGAATTATAATGCCCAAGTGTATGCGCAATTCCCAACACAACCGGAGAGAGATCAGGCGCAGGACCAACCGCCTTACTCGTACTTGCTTTCCGAGGCACGGGGGTGAAACACCGCTTTCTTCCTGACTCCAGGCAGCTACTGAGAATTTTTGTAATTTTTGTACGCCTATATCCTTTGAGGCGGCGACAATCCTGGTTCGCTTTCTACCACTAGATATACTGGCGGAGATGGACGCGAGGGTCTACATTCGGATTCGTGCCCTCCGTCAGAGCGGTGGTAGTGAGCCAGAAGAGGCACTCGAATCAATTAAACGGCAGGAACGGCAAAACGCCCTAGCGACATGGCGCACTCGTCTCGAGGAGTGCTATGAACGCAAACGCGTCATTGGAGCAATCCTGCCGGTCTTCGAAGCCCGGATGCAGCGACGAGTATGAAGACTCACCTACAGACGTACACAGATAATTACCGGGCACGGGTACTTCGGTGATTACCTATGTAAGATCGAACGCGAGGTGACGGCGAACTGCTTCCACTGCGAAGGACGGGACCAGGACTCCGCTTCTCACACGCTCGCGGTATGCCCAGCGTGGGAACGGGAGCGGACGATTCTAGTAAATCGCATTGGACGGAATCTCTCCCTGCCAGCAGTTGTGTTGGCGATGCTGAGCGGGGACTTGGCGTGGAGGGCCGTAGCAACCGTCTGTAAATCCGTTATGGTTCAGAAGGAGGCTTCTGAGCGAGATCGGGAGAGGGTGGATCCCGCTCGGAGACGACGTCATGTCCCTCCTCTTGAAAACGGTGTTACCCTACCAGAAACGGGGCCTGTAGGGTTGCAGGTGCTCGGCTTGCAGACGCTCGGGGCAGGGGCCTCGAAGGCCTAGTTATGTAACCCCCGAGGAAAGTATTGCCTCTAGGACGTGCTATTAGTGTATCAAAGCGCTGGAGGGGCTCCGGTTATGTTCCGAACGGAGATTCCGGGACCCCTCGTATATGCTAATGATGACCACCGTGGGGTATTAGCCGGTAGGAGTCCGGCATAACCTTCTCGTTGCCCCCGCAAGGAATGGTATCCATGAGCATTTCCCCACGAAAAAAAGAGGGTAGGTATGTAGTGTTGCCACCTTAGCTCTTTTCGGGCTAGATCTAGTACTTATTACAGTAGGTAAACTCGTTTTTTGAAATTTTAGTCCTTAAAGAACAGTCTAGCCCTTTTTACACGATAAGAAATCTTCCGCCTGCTAAATAACTTCAAAAAATTGGAGACAATGACGGCTCTTTCTGCTAAAGAGACTCTAAAGTGCAACAAGGCTGTATCACGCATGGTTCACCTTGCAGAAGTATTTTGTTTGATACCTGAAGATATTGATATAGTTTTAGTACAACATAGAAATATCGGAGAACACTACAGAACAAAGACGCCACCATCAAGATTTGGTGCAAAGTTTTGAAATACAAGGATCCTACTGGAATCAACTTGTACCAAGAGCTTCGGAACTTGGCGAAAATTATTTTATCATTACCTTCGAACGAACGCTGATGCTGAACGTGATTTTAGTTTCATGAACCTAATTATGATTAAAACCAGGAACAAACTGGGATTAAAAACAATGATATCAATTACATATGTAAGTACTATCTGAAAAAACTGTGGAAGTAATATAATAATATAAAATAAGATATAAAATACTCCTTCAAATTAACAAAAACTGCAGATGTCAATCAGCCATCAACTTCTTCTGCTTCAGTAGTTATAGTTTCAGATGATTCCGATGACGACTCCGATTTTGGTTAAAAATTTAATAAGTGAATTTTAATAGTATTTAAGTATCTACTACATTTTAAATAAACAATTTTTAAATTGCATATTTATTATTTATTATGGCCCAAAATATATATACTGCAAGTTGTTTCATGTTTATATTTTCTTCTTTTCTGCTGTGACCGCTAAAACAAAAGACAAAAGATACACATACATAGGTATACTATATCGAAGACGGCACTCATGTTTTGAAAGTTTTATCCAACAGACGTACGCCGTGAAAAAAAAATATTTTTAGCTCTTTCTAGCACCTCTTATGATGGTAAAACTTTCAGTAGGTATCTAGCCGTTTTTAGATAGTCCATTTGCCCCTTTTCAAAAACCAAGGTGGCAACACTGTACTGTAGGCATGGGTGGCAGCTGTCAGTTTTGGTTAAATTTGCTAATCTTGGACGATGTCGATCGTTTTAGTAGAAATAGTTTTATAGCTAAATTGACTGCCACTATTTCTAAGTACACATAGTACCTTAGTTTTAACTTCCAAATATAAAGTGCATTTTCTCTCTTATAAACATTTAATAGCTTTAACATCACATTGTGACAGGTTAGCACTTTACAATAAAAACATTTTATCTTTATTTATTGAAATTGAAATTCATAAACGTGGACACATAATGATAGCAATATGAAGTGCCACTATGATGTACTTTGTGTATCGAAGGAAGCAAGCTCTTCCGAAATAAAGAAAGCATATCGCCGGCTTGCACTGCAATGGCATCCCGATAAAAACTTAGACAACTTACAAGAAGCTAAGGAACAATTCCAGCTGGTTCAAAACGCTTACGAAGTGCTCTCTGATCCACAAGAAAGAGCTTGGTAAGTTTAATTTTAACTTAAATGGCAATTGACCAGAAATAATGGTTATATAAAAATTCATTAACCTAACTACTGTACCAATTTTTACTGCTTTTTAAACTGGGTAATCATATCATATTGCAAATATAAATAAGATATATGAGTAGAATATGAAATGTTAGGATGGTTTAATTGATTTTGTAATTGCTTAAACATATCTACAGCATGAAATATTTCATCAATATGTTTTAAGAATATTTGATTTGGATTGACTTCCATGTGATAAAGAACCCATAAATAATTAATATAGTAACACCCCTATACTTGTACCACATTAAGTAATTTTTTTAGTTTAGATGGAAATTTACTCTTTTATTCTAAGACTTAGAAATTATTTTATAACAATAATTAGAGATAATAATACTTTTCATTACTTTATTTAAATACCACAGCAGTTATACCAACCACACACTTTGTTAGAATGATAATTTGAGATTACTTATTCAAAAACCAGTAAGCTATGTGTACAACATTAAGTCAAAAAGTATTGGTTTAGATGAAAATTTACTTTTTTATTGGTAGTTTTTTAGAAATTATTTTATAACAATTGTTACTACTTTTTATTACTTTCTTTAAATACCACAGTAGTTATACCATACACTTTGATAGAGTGATACTTTGAGATTACTTATTCAAAATTATAAAAGATTATACAGTGTGTAAGCACTGTATACTGTGATAAGAACTGTATAACAATCAGTAGGTTTATTGTTAAAAATGCTCCCAACCAGACCAGTCAAAAATTTTGTTTCACAGTCATTTTTATCTATTAAAGTTTTAATGATCTCAAATATTACCTTAAGCTATTGAGAGAAAGCAAGAATATACAAAAAGTTGTAAAGAAGCTAAAGAATGTGTGAGCAATTTAACGAAACTAAATTTGCATCATTAGAGCTTATTTTCAATAAAACCAAATTAAAAAAAATACTAGCAATGCTATTAACAGTACTAATATTTGCATTAATCACTCCAGGGAAACTTAAATTGCTTATGTTAGGAGTCATTCATGACATTAGTCATATAGCGGATTCGAACCCAGGACCTTTTGAGATTGTGGTCTGTGATCTACAATTGTATCCTAATGGTAGCCTTGTATGTGCCTCACAGTCTGTATATAATATACTTGCTTTCTATACTCTTAAATCTGCAACAAAGCAGGGCAAGGTTTTTTACTTGGGTGCAAATTCATTATTAAAATTTTAGCAAATATTTATTGCAATTTTTTTCAATTTCTTTCAGGTATGATAATCATCGAGAGCAGCTATTGAGAGGAGCTGGAAGTTCATACAATGATGACAGTCTTGACGTTTACCCATACTTTAGTCCGTCCTGTTACAAAGGCTTTGGTGATGATCCCCAAGGCTTCTATGGAGTTTATTCTGAGGTAATCAGAATTATAATATCTTCTTCAGCTTATAAACAGTGCTAAACGTGTACCATCATGTCATGTATTGTAGGATTGCAGAAATGTTTGTGTTTTTATGATGAGTGTTGATCATCAATCTACTATTTAGTTTGGACAAGTCAATAGTGCAAAGGCTGAGCATTTGGCTTAGAAAAAATATTTGAATAGCCAACAGGATGCAGGAAGTCGATGGATGCAGGTGGCTCAGGACCGTGCTTTGTGCCATTACTTGGGGGAGGCCTATGTTCAGTAGTGGGCTGTAATGATGATGATGATGATAGCCAACAGATAATTATTCAAAATATGAACGTCTTGATTTGTCCTTACGCAATTTATTTATGTAAAACACCTTCATGATATAGGAGACAATGCTATGCTAATGCTAACTTTAATGCTATGTGTTTAAGGAAATCATTCTGTTAAGAAAAAAGGTAAGTTTTTCCTTATCAGAATGAATTACATTAAGTTACGTATATATATTATGTATCTTTTTATATATCATGTGTGCATGTTGTGTATTATGTACATACAACAATATTATACTGAGATCATGAAAAATATTATTAAGTACATCCTCGGATTATCACAATTTTATCTACTTTCTACCTTGATGAAATGAATTCACAGCTGTGAAGACAAAGTTAAGTAATAAACTACTAGTAATATCTTTAAAACCTTCCAGGTATTTTCTAAACTAGCAGCTGAAGAAACCGACTTCCTTGATGATCCAGAAGATGTTGCCAAAATTCCGAAGTTTGGTAATTCCGGCACTCCTTATGAAGAGGTGCATGAGTTTTATGCTTATTGGATGGCATTTTCTACAAACAAAAGTAAGTTCTTGAAATTTCATTTGTGATATTATTCTGAATGGTATTTATTTTTAGTACAAAGTAGTCAGAAGGGATTGAAAAAGTTAATACAGATAAAATGTACAGAATCAACATTTAAAGGTTTTAGTACTAGAATCAAATCTAAAACCGAAACATATATGAGTACCGTTAAGCACTTTTATATTACGGGTGTTTAGAGAAACACGTTATAATTTGTCTGATTTTATGTAGTAACAGTCACACAACGCTTATTTAAGTAAAAAATTACATCATGTAGTTAAAAATTTCTTTATTCTATATAATTATCAAAGTAATCATTGTGAAAACCTAACAAATTATATGATCTATAAATATCTTAATTGGAACCAGAGCCAGACCGTAGGTGAGAGAATCTTTATTAGTAGAACATGAGGAACCATAACATAATTTTATTTTTTATTTAAATTTAAAGAGTAAGAGCTTACTATAACCCAGATTTAATATTGAAACTATAAGAAACAAAACTCAACAAAAAGTTGCTTTGAATTTAAAATAAAACTAAAAAAATAATTATATTCATGGCACTAGCTTCACAACTTTTTGTATAGTTTTTGTTAAAAAAAATTTAATTAGTCCAGTTTTTTAGGAAGAAATACTCCCTTGGTTTCTTAGCCCGGTGATTCCGGGCACGGTGCGACAACAATATGTTATAATTAAAAAGCTATTCTTCAAATTTCTTCCAGCCCTGACACACTCTTAATTTCTTCTACTGGTCCTGTGATAAATTAATAAATTTTTGCTTTTGATTACATAATTTAAAAATTATTTGCTATGTATGTTTGTAGGTTTCGTATGGTTAGACCAATATGAAATATCACAAGGTGATAACAGAAGAGTTATCAAATTAATGGAGAAAGAAAATAACAAAATCAGACAAAAGGCTAGAAAGGAGAGAAATGAAGAAATTAGGAGACTTGTGAGTTTTGTACGCAGGAAAGACAAAAGAGTAATAGAACATACAAAACTACTGCAAGAAAAAGCAGAGGAAAACAAGAAGAAGGTAATTAAAAATTATACAGTTGATTAGGTTTTTTTTATTGCATTGACGATCAAACTCGATCGACCTGGTAGTGAGTGGCTGCTGAAGCCCATGTAGACATCTTCAACTTGAATCAAAGAAGGCACTGTACTCACTCAACAGCAAAATTGTGGTACATACCGAGAAGGACTCCCGAAATAAAGGAAAAGGTGTCCTACCACCTAGACAGCTTACTAACATATTATATGTATATATTGTGTCTTAATTGCAAATATTTTTTATAGGATAGGGTGACAAATGAGCACACAGTCCACCTGATGGTAAGTGCTGCGGCTCATAGACATCTACATCTATCCTTGATTACAAATCAAAATGCAGAAGTGTTGTCACCCGTGAGGACTAAAATGGAATGCCTTGTTTCCAGTAAAAAGGGTATCCGGTTCTCTACGCTACATAAATGTAAATCAATCAAAAATATTTTTCAGGCGGAACAAGTAAGAAGGGAAAGGATACTTCAAAGGCAGAAGGAAATAGAAGAGGCTAAGAAAAAGGAAGGGGAGAGCTCATTCTTGCAAAGTGAAGATTATCACAAGAAACTTAGTGAAATTGAATCTCTTTTGGCTGAGGAGTTTGGCTTGTCCTCTGATGATGATACTATTAGTGAAGGTGGAATGGAAAGTAGCAACGAAGAAAGCTCCAAGACTGAAGATGTAAATGCCTTTTACATGTTATATAAAGCTTTTAACTTTTAATACACTAAGTCCGAATTTGGAAGAATGATAAACAAAGATTAACAAGTTTATTAATATAAATTAACTTAGTGAACTTGTTAAGCTAACTATATAAGCTAACTTAAAGGTTCAAAATATTTTAATTGCTAGTGCTCAAGATTTCAAACCATTTCAAATATTCCATCAATAGTAGTTTTTCATTTTTCAATTTTTTCTAGGTCAGTGAACGGTCCAAAGCAACTGGAAAATCTTTATCGAAAACTAAAACAACCATGAAGAATCTATATTGTTCAGCGTGTAACAAACTATTTAAAAATGTAAATTCGTTTGAAAATCATGAAAATAGTAAAAAACACAAAGAAAATGTAGCTAACATGACATTAGAAAATGATATTGATATATCAGAAGGTGATAATGATGATGTGGATAATGAACCTAGCAATGAACAGCAAGGTAGTGGAAAAGTCAATGGACAAACAGAAGAGGAAGGAGAACATGTTGATAATTTAACATCAGATATTGAAGACCATGATGTCAGAGAAACATTGAGCGATGACTCCGATAAAATTCAGGTATGTGATGAACTAGAATTTAACTTTTATGATAAGAATAAGTTAAAAAATTGTAATAATATGTCTGTTTATGTCATTCATACTTAGTGAGCAACAATTCTTAAAACTCACTATTACCAACTCTCATAAGCGAATGAGTAAAGAAACTGACTAGAGGTAAAGCTTCTAAGGAGCATCCAAAACTTTGTGTTATTCCATTTATCCATCCTAAAACTACCACCCTAAAATTAAATAAGTTAAATATATTTTTTATTATTAGTGCAATAAGGTAGGATACAAGTCTAAGGGTGAACTTTTTAGGGTCGATTAACAAATTATCTCAAAATTTTTACCCATTTTTGTAGTATTAATGATTTCTTATATTTACGCGAACACTACACATTGAAATAATACTAGTTTTTACGGAATTTATCGCGTATATTTAACTTTTTAATTACCCGACGTTTCGAGAGCTTTACAGCACCCGTGGTCACGGGAAGGACTGAGATGTTCAACGTCCAGCTGTCATAGTTAACCGCGGTTACCATAGATTAAAATTTATCAGATCGGAACAAAAGTTAAATTTTAATCTATGGTAACCGGCGTTAACTATGACAGCTGGACGTTGAACATCTCAGTCCTTCCCGGTGACCATGGGTGCTGTAAAGCTCTCGAAACGTCGGGTAATTAAAAAGTTAAATATACGCGATAAATTCCGTAAAAACTAGTATTATTTCAACATTTTTGTAGTGTTGACACAGGATAATATCAGACAAATCAGCTTTTATTATTAACCTGTCGTCAAATATATTGTTTACTTACTCAAAATATTTTATTTTCATATTCTTTGTTTTCGAATAATTTAATGTGCCTTTTAGTTGAATGGTAAATTTTAAATGTAATATAAAGTTTCTTTCTTAGATAATCTAATAGAAAGCATTCACATGGTATATACAAGTTTCACATGTTTTAATATGTCACTATCAATATTAATAATGACTATTTCGAAACCAAAATATTCGCGAATTTTTGCCCAAGCAATTTAACACATGCGATAAATTTATTAACATACATATATGTAGGAGATATCTATCTACTACATTAAAAATAATAAATAATATCAAGTACTAATTGCCAAGTGGAGTCTTTGGGATTATTAAATAATGATATATTTTTATTAACTGCTTTAAACAAGTTAGAATATTATTACATATAATTACTTTCAAATACACAATGTTTAGCAGTTTAGTTTGAGCACTGGCTGAGCTGGTTTAAAGCAGTTTCTGTACGTGACGAGCCGCCAGTGCTCTCGCACACACGTGCCTTATACTTTTAGTGGTGTACCTATAATAGTGCGGTTTTATGAAGCTTTGCCTCTGATTGGTTTCTTTAATTATGTGGTAATAGGCAATATTCACGTGAGGACATTATCATAACAGCGTAACAAACTCCACTGCTGAACATAAGCCTCCCCAATGATAGCCTCATAAGGGGAACTTGCCATAGATGCCACGCTTGGCGGATGGATGGCAACCGTAGTTTTTAATGAGTAATTTTCGTTTAATATTAATTACAAAATATAAGAATTTGATATTATATTTATCAACAATATAAAAAATTATAGGCTTTACCTAAAAGTCACAAGAAAAAGAAAAACAAAAAGAAGTCATTCATCCCAATGCCTGAAAGTGAAGGAAATGATAGTCATGATGAAATGAGCTTCAATGAAATAGAGGGTCCATCTAGAAGCAGGAAGGCGAAAAAATTTAACATGCTTAAAAGTCAAATACAGGCAAAAAAAGAAGCAAACCTAAAGAAAGGATCTCAATCACAAACTTCAACAGAAAATTTGTATGAGGTATCAAGCACAACTCCCACTGATGATGCATTAGGTGAAGCGGCTCTACCAAGAGATAGGCCAGCTCTACCCAAAATGCAAAGGAATATTAAACCAAAAAAGTTAGTAGACAGGAAACCAATAAGAACCAAAACTAGTGAAACAGAAGATTCAAGCACTGCTTTAAATCTTAGATGTGCTGTGTGTCAATCAGATTTTCCATCAAAAAATAAATTATTTGAGCACTTAAAAAAGACAGGTCACTCTGTACCCCTCCCTCAGACTAGCTTCGCTCAACCTAAGAAAGGTAAGAGAGCCAATAGGTAAATGTGCAATGGAATTAGATAGGTTTAAATGTATTAATTATATTCATTGAGAATCTATGTGATTTTCTTTAAATCTCTAGAAACTATAAAGTGAATTTATCAATTTATTTATTAAATTAAAATTAAAACTATGATCACTCAATAAATTATGTCCAAATTAGCTATATTTTTTTTAAACCTTTGAACCATAGACATCAAGCAAGTATAAGTAAAAAAAATCATATTTTTATAGAACATCATTATAATAAATAACATGTACAAGTTCAAGTAGCTGTGCACATCCACAGCTGTGTTTAGATTTCAAAATAAATAGAGACTGTGCGGGATTTCATATGTCTCAGGACAATAAATCTGTAGCCTTCTCTGTTTAAAGTAGGTAAACCTTTTTACTGGAAATGAAACATTTCATCTTAGTCCTCACGGATGACAACGCATCTGCATTTGATTCGTAATCGAGGATACATGTAGGTGTCTATGGGCCACAGCAACCACTTACCATCATGTGGACTGTGTGCTCGTTTATCACTCTATCCTATAAAAAAAAAGACAATGGGAAAGGCTCATGTCCAGATGTGGACTTTTACAGGGTGATGAGTAGGAAGATTTGTTTTAGAAGGCAATATTTTTTCCCTTTAAAAAACATTACCTTCACACTAGGATGAAGGTAATTTTTTAAAAGGATGTCGTGGATCATGGTGATGTTCTACATACATACGGTGCAAAAGGATAAACATCCAGACCTTTAACAATTTTTAGTAAGACATACAAACACCTTATTCCATGTTGTAATTGAACACACAGCCCTCAGCGCCACAAGACGATGCTTTTTATAGAAGAGGGGGGGGGGGCAAACGAGCATACTATTAGCGACAGTAACCTAATGGCAGGGCGCGGACCGCGAACTTATAATGGTCGTGGGTTCGAATCTGCCATTCGACTACTGGCGTGAACCACTCGTAACAGAAGCAATTTAAGCTTACCACGAGTGGTTTAGGGGAAATATTATATATAGCATTGTTAATATTCTTTTTAGGAAATAAAAAAAAATAAAACATAATACGGTTCACCTGATGTTAAGTGACTACCGCCGCCCATGAACATCCGCAACACCAGAAGAATTGCAGGTGCGTTGCCGACCCTTTAGAAGGAATAAGCTCTTTTCTTGAAGATCCCCAGGTCGTATAGGTCCGGAAAAATCGCCGGTGGTAAACTATTCCACAGAGAGGTCGTACGCGGAAGAAAACTTATTGTGAAACGTACAGTGTTGGACCGCCAAGCATCCAGATGGTGTGATGGTATCGGGACGTTTGTTGTGTAGTGCGTTCGTGAAATTTAGCGGCTGGGATTAATCCGAACAATTTCTCAGAGCACTTCTCGTGATAGATTTGATAAAATACGCAGAGGTGCAACATCTTCGCAGAGCCAGTGAATCGAGCCGATCGGAAAGCACTCGGTCGTCGACGATTCGAGCCACTCTGCACTGGATGCGGTCAAGTGGAAGGAGCTGGCACTGGGGAGCCCTGGCCCAGAAATGGGAACAGTATTCCATGTGTGGCCGAACCTGCGCCTTGTAAAGTTGCAGGCGGTGTGCCGTCATGAAATACTGTCCCGCTCTGCTGAGCACGCCAAGCTTTTTAGAGGTCAATTTGGCATTCTCTTCCAAGTGAGACGAAACTGATGAAAAAGAAAAGCTGAGGCAACAAGGGGAGTGCCTTGAAACTGAGGAGATACGACAAAGTGGTTCTTTTTAGCGGTTAACGCGCAAACTTGTGTCTTCTGAGGGTTAAACTGGACTAGATTTAGTCGCCCCCAATCCGAGACTGTTCAGCAAAGACTCGACTTCAGACACAAGTTTGTCCCGGTACTCGGAGACATTTTCCCAAAAATATTGGCACGGCCGGTGTACAGAGCATCACCAGTGCTGTCTTCTGCGTAGCAATGAATGTTGCCGGTTTGCATCATTGATATGCAGAAGAAACAGCGTTGGTGAAGCGCGCATCTTTGGAACACCATCATTACTTGTAATCGGAGCTTGCACCATCTATAACGACCTTGATTTTCCGATCTACAAGAAACCTGGTGATCAAATTGCACAATTTCTCGGGAAGCCCATAGGAAGGGAGCTTCGAAAGAAGCGCTTTGTGCCTAACCCGATCGAAGACCTTCGCAATGTCCAAACTAACGGCCAATGCCTACCCCTTGGACTCTACTACCGGACGATCCCAATGTTGTTGCTGATTCTGTCGCTGATGTGGAACTTCAGGGTATGGAACTTTTTATTCCTTCCCATAGTGCCCATCGGAGGCAAATCTCAGTCATGGTTTAGTCGCTCTTGTAAAATAGGATCATGCTATAAGCAGGAGTGCTACCAAGCCTGGGCTGACGCATCAATGTCCCGGGATGTAAACAACAGCGCTCTAAAAAAAGAAGTATAATTCCGCTTCCAGGTCCTTCAAAAGAGTCATTAGTAAGACAAAGTCAGAGCACATAGGCAGAATTGACGAAAAACTAGTTCGCCTTCCTTCTGGAACCCGTGTACTCTGGTCTCCCGCCAAGGCTGTCTAGGGGAATTGGCCCATGCCGCAAATGAGAAAGCCGATCTGCTAGGCTCTTTCTTTGCGTCCAACTCGACTCTCGATGACGGGGGGAGTACGCCGCCGACCATCCCGCGGTGTGAATGCTCCATGCCGGAGGTGCGGTTCACACAGCGCTCGGTTCGCAAGGCACTCCTCTCCCTGGACATCCATAAGTCGAGTGTGCCTGACGGTATCCTCCTCTAAAAAAGGCGACCGCTCAGCCCGTCCAACTACAGGCCCATTGCCATCACCTGCTTGTTCTCCAAAACAATGGAGTACATTGTAAATTCTAGCCACTATACCACCAAACAACCAAATTTAACTATGTATTTGCTGAAAATTATACCATACTCTGACCAGCTGTGAGAAACACTAGTTTAAAGGATGAGGCAAGCAAAATAGAGGAAGAATTTCAATGGTGGACAATTTTGACACTGATGAGAATTCTTGAATAGTTTGCAGATTCACACTTACGAGTATAAACATTCATATAATTAAGTCGTGAACCTATATGGAACTTAAAGGAGGACATGACCTCATGCCACCTAACAGACAAAAATGTTTTTTTTATAAAAGAGGGAGCCAACGAGCATGCGGCTCACCTGATTAAAAGTGACTATCGCCGCCTATGAACAACTGCAATACTAGGGAAATTGCAGGTGCATTGCCGGTCTTTTAGAAAGGAGAGTAAGCTCTTTTCTTGAAGGTCCCAGAGGGGTCGTACGAGGAATAAAACTCTTTGTTAAACGTACAGTGCTGTGGACCGCCAAAAATCCAGATGGTATCGTAAGTAATGTCGCGAGGTGCGTTCGTGAAATTTAGCGGCTGGAATTGATCCCAACAATTCCTCAGAGAATTCCCCGTGGTAGATGCGATAGAAAATGTAAAAAGAAGCAACATCTCTTCACAGCGCCTGTGTATCAAGCCGGTCGGAGAGAACGTCATCGACGATTCGAGCCGCTCTGCGCTGGATGCTGTCAAATGGAAGGAGCTGGCACTGGGGAGCCCTGACCCAGAGATGGGAACAGTATTTCATATGTGGACGAACCTGCGCCTTGTAAAGAGGCAGACGATGTGCCGACATGAAATACTGTTCCACTCTGCTGAGCACGCCAAGCTTTTTAGAGGCCAATTTGACCTTCTCTTCCGGATGACTACGAAACTGCACATGCTTCGATATGTCGACGCCGAGGATTCCGATACTGACTAACGCAACATAGGGAGTGCCTTGAAACTGAGGAGATACGACAAAGGGGTTCTTTTTAGCGGTAAAAGCGCAAACTTGTCTTCTGGGGTTTAAATTGAACTAGATTTAGTCGACCCCAATCCGTGACTTTGATCAACAATGGCTCGACATCAGACACAAGTTTGTTCTAGTACTCGACGACGGTTTTCCGAGTGCGAATATTGGCACGGCCGGTGTATAAAGTATATACCGGTCTGCAACATATTGATATTCAGAAGAAAGAGCGTTGGTGATAGCATGCATCATCGTGGTACACCAGCGTTAATAGGCTTGTAATCAGAGCATACACCGTCTTCACTTATCACCTATCCGAAAACTGGTTTGCAAATTGCACAATTTCTCGGAAAGCCCATAGGAAATAACCTTCGAGAAGAGCGCTTTGTGCCAAACCCGATGTCCATTATTTTGGAGAACAAGGAGGTGATGGCGATAGGCCTGTAATTGGGCGGATTAGAGCGGTTACCTTTTTCGGGGATCGGATGCACGAAAGCTGTCTTTCATGAATTCGGGACTACGCCTAGGGAGCAGGAGTACCGGAAAAGACTCGTTAGAACTGGTGACAACTCTGCAGCCACGTCCTCAGCACAATTGCGGGGATTCCGTGAGGCCCACTCGACTTTTGGATGTCCAAGGACTTTACTAGTGCTTTACGTACTGAGCACTGTGTGAATCGCACATCAGGCATAGAGCACTCACACCGTGCGATGGTCGGTAGTGTATTCCCCCCCGTTATCGAGAGTCGAGTTGGACGCAAAAAGAGAGCTTATAAGATCGGCTTTCTCTTTTGCGGCGTGGGCCAGTGAGTCGTCCTCCCTGTGCAGAAATGGTAGTGATGGCTTAGAGAAATTCCCTTGGGCAATCTTGGCGAGAGACCAGAATGCACGGGTTCCTAAAGGAAATCGAACTAATTTCTCGCCAATTCTAACAATGTGCTCATACTTTGCCTTGACAATATCTCTTTTGAAGGACCTGAAGGTGAAGTTATACTTATTGTTAAGCTTGTCGGTGTTTATATCTCGAGTCGCCGAAGCCTAAACCCAAGCTTGATAACACTCCTGCTTACTGCGTAATGCTGTCTTACAGGAGCGATCAAACCAAGGTTGGGATCTGCTTCCGATGGGCACCACAGACGATTGAATAAATAGTTCAATTCCCTGTAGTCAGCAACAGCGCTGGGAT